TAGTTTTGTCCCATCTTTTCAATTCATCTGGGAAGTACATTCATTCTAACAGAAATTGATCGTAGCATTTGGGCCCCCCCCCCCCCCCCCCCGGCTGGAATAATCACAAACCAGGTAGACCACAACCAACAAAATCATTCATTCTCTCGGTATGTATATTAGTGATACAATGCCCTAAATCTCAACAGCAGCGACAGGTTAAGACGTCTAAGCATGTGTAGGGTCTCGACTTTTCTTCCAGTTCCACTGCAGAGGGCAAGACTTCTATATTATATATACTTCTCCGACCAAAACAGAAATTGTATAGATTCCTGCAGACTCCTTTGCTGAAAGGATATACCCTTTCTGGAATACCCCTGAGCAACAAAAAAAAAAAAAATAAAGGATTTAGCTAGCAAGTTGATGCGTGTCATAGTAGGACAAATTTGTTTCAGCCTTTATAATTGAGTTAAACGCCGTTCCTGTGTCATAACAATTTAATTACCACCAAACAATTTAATTCCCCCGTCCTGAGAACATCACTGATTTGAACCTCGTGCTTCCTCCTACCATACCGACCAGACAATATTTTTTTCCAAAAATGGCCATCACGCAGTTTTTCAAACTTGTTTTATCTCAGTAACTTCAAGTCCGAACAAATTATGAAGTAAAGAAGAATATAGCCACTTACCTTAAATATGGGATACGTCTACGTCTGACGAGCTCGTAGGTAGTTTGATTTGTTAAAACAAGGTAGCTGTAGCAGAAATAATAATACATCAGAAGTTGAACACTGATGCTCTCTGGTTAATAATACGTTTATTAAAACAACGTTGCAAAATGGTTTTCCCCAAGTAAAACAAAACATTAGATTATCTCTTACAACTTAATTAAGCCTGTCAATCCCATAGTCAATATTCTTGGGCCATTAGCGTACATTTCTTACATTACATGCAAGAAGAAAAACATAATTTGATAAGAGAGTGTTTGGGCAGATGCTTAAAAGCAACTTCTTAGCATCTCACTTTATTATACCTGTGTAGGAATTCAAAATGCAGACTGCTTATTAGATTCTAGTGTTTAAGGCAGGAACAAAAAATCTGTACTTTTTTTCTGAATTCACTTAAGAGTATTTGCAAAATACAGAGTACTTATAAAATACAGAGTGGTATAATAGGAGGTATTTACTAAATACAGAGTATTTACAAACTTTCTTTGTAAGTACCACTTTCAAATTTCTTCTAATTTTTTTCTAAATTTCTTTCCACCTAACCTTCTCAAATTGACACTTTTCATGATGAAGCACCATGAATTACTATGGACATGCATATCAATATAAAATACTTTATAAAATACTTCCATGTCAACTGGTTGCAAAATGACCTTATCATCCACAGGTGATTTGTTTCTAAATCTCAATGGAGGTGGGGTTTCTTTTTCTTTTCTTTTTTTTCGGGGGAGGGGAAGAAGCAGCTTCCCAAAAAGAAATTGCCTAAAGCAAATATTAGTACAAGCAAGTGGCTATTCAATTGTAAATCCTCCTAGGCCCCTCTATACTATTCTATACCAACACCAAAAATCCCATTCTCTT